CACCTCCCCACACCTCCCCACACCTCCCCACATCTCGTGCCGCAGGACACGATCCTGTTCGACGACACTGCAGAGTACAACATCCGGTACGGCAATCTCTCCGCCAGCGACGAGCAGGTCGCCTCGTGCAATCTCGGGAATCATCTCGGGTCATCTCGAGTCATCTCGGGTCATCTCGGGTCATCTCGGGTCATCTCGGGTCATCTCGGGTCATCTCGGGTCACCACGGGTCATCTCGGGTCATCTCGGGTCATCTCTCCGCCAGCGACGAGCAGGTCGCGTCGGCCGCCGAGCGGGTCGGCTTGCTCACGCCCGGCGGAGGCTTGACGCCGCCGCAGGGCTTCGCGACGCGCTGCAAGGTTGAAGACTGAGTGTTTGTCAGCTTGTTCATAGGATCGACGCTGCCACAGGGCCTCGCGACGCGCGTGGGTGAGCGCGGGCTCGCAATCTCTGGAGGCGAGCGGCAGCGCGTCTCTCCCCATATCTCCCCACATCTCCCCACACCTCGGCTTGCAATCTCTGGAGGCGAGCGGCAGCGCATCTCTCCCCATCTCTCCCCACATCTCCCCACACCTCGGCTTGCAATCTCTGGAGGCGAGCGGCAGCGCATCTCTCCCCATCTCTCCCCACATCTCCCCACACCTCGGCTTGCAATCTCTGGAGGCGAGCGGCAGCGCGTCTCTCCCCACATCTCCCCACATCTCCCCACACCTCGGTTTGCAATCTCTGGAGGCGAGCGGCAGCGCATCTCTCCCCATATCTCCCCACATCTCCCCACACCTCGGCTTGCAATCTCTGGAGGCGAGCGGCAGCGCATCTCTCCCCATATCTCCCCACATCTCCCCACACCTCGGCTTGCAATCTCCGGAGGCGAGCGGCAGCGCATCTCTCCCCATATCTCCCCACATCTCCCCACACCTCGGCTTGCAATCTCCGGAGGCGAGCGGCAGCGCATCTCTCCCCATATCTCCCCACATCTCCCCACACCTCGGCTTGCAATCTCCGGAGGCGAGCGGCAGCGCATCTCTCCCCATATCTCCCCACATCTCCCCACACCTCGGCTTGCAATCTCCGGAGGCGAGCGGCAGCGCATCTCTCCCCATATCTCCCCACATCTCCCCACACCTCGGCTTGCAATCTCCGGAGGCGAGCGGCAGCGCATCTCTCCCCATATCTCCCCACATCTCCCCACACCTCGGCTTGCAATCTCCGGAGGCGAGCGGCAGCGCATCTCTCCCCATATCTCCCCACATCTCCCCACACCTCGGCTTGCAATCTCCGGAGGCGAGCGGCAGCGCATCTCTCCCCATATCTCCCCACATCTCCCCACACCTCGGCTTGCAATCTCCGGAGGCGAGCGGCAGCGCATCTCTCCCCATATCTCCCCACATCTCCCCACACCTCGGCTTGCAATCTCCAGAGGCGAGCGGCAGCGCATCTCTCCCCATATCTCCCCACATCTCCCCACACCTCG